GTTTTTTTTTTTTGCGGACTGTACAGTTGCTAAAAATAAGTAAAATAGATGCCATCAACAACTCCGCAGCTGATACATCCCCTAAAATGAAAGTAACTATCAATTGCTTAAATCAGATTTCTGATGCATCATCTAAAATAAAAGTCATTATATCGGCCTGCCGATATATGTGTTACGTAGATATTTTGAGATGCATTGATTTATTGTCCGGTCTATATAGAATAATCATTTAAACTCTCCATACACCCTCAAGTACAGAACAAATAAGATGGTGAAATTCTTTTTTCCGTTTTAAGGGGACAGCAAGGTTTGAAAAGGTTAAGATTCACTGGTCTATACTTTAGAGCAAAGGTTCCTATACCAAAGGATCCAATGAGCAATTGTAATTTTTTTGATCATAATAATAATAGCTCCATTTTTAATAAAATGCTTTCTATGGAGAAAAAAGGGCAGGGTGCAAAAGTTTAAGAAAAGGGCATTATTATTCTAAAAAGGCAATAATTTCTTTCTATGGGCTTTGCACGTTCTATTAAAAAACATTGTCAATTAGTAAAAGATTTTTTTTTTCTTTACTTTATTAAAAGTAGCAAAGCAATCATATTAATTACTAATTTTTATTAATAAATTAACATATATATTGAGTTAATGGGTAGTAATTTATTTAGTAGCTTAGTAATTAAATTTAAAATGCATGCATATATTAATAAAATAATAAATGTATGTTTTTAAGTTTCTGTAGTTATGATTTAATGGTAGTGGAAGTAACTGCAAACTTTCAATGACAAGTGCAACAAGGGGTGTGATGGCTATCTTTCCTTTCCCATATAAATGTATTCCTATGTATTGACAGCAATGACAAACTAAATAAAAGGAGTTGAAAGTAACAAAAGTTTAAGAAATCCATAGAAGAGTTTGGGGAGAAAACAAAGAAGGGTTGAGGAAAGAAAGGGCAAAAAGGTTATGGAGTCTATTATATCAAGGTACTAATTTACTTCAGGGGGGGGGGCAACAGGGTGGATTCTTTTGACTAAAAGGGTAGCAGGGTGCTGCACCCTGTTTACCCTGCCTAGAATGAGCTCTGATTATAATACCATTGAATAACTCAATCACAAAAATAATTACAATAAGGTAACTTACAAGCAAACTGTAAATTCTTATCTTCTTTCAACTTTTCCTCTAATTGATTAAGATCACCATCCGAAGAAAACGGGAACTCAATACCTCTTGGTAATTCTAAAAGAACAGATGTTGAATTATCTTTCTCTTTTTCAGAGCCTTCATTTCTTTAATTTCCTTTCTTAACTATTTAATCTCCTCTTGATTTTCTAACACACAGTTACACATCTTAGTCACTAAAATAACAAATACAAGAGATTAAGTATGTGCAGTTTTATAAATGTGTTCTTATTGCTAATAATATGATTAAGTATTTTATAAAAACACCAAGTTAATTTACAAAAAATGAAAACTATATACATTTACTAATACATAAACTAAATATACTTTTTTAAATATAATAACATGCAAATTTTTCATGAAAAATAAATGAGGAAAAAATATTCAAAATACAAAATGTTACTCGAGGCTCCTAAATTTATACTAGTTTTCTCATCTTGCAATTGCTCTGTTCGGTGACAAGAATACAAAATAGTCTGATGTTATAATTTATTTATTTACTTAATAGCTAAAAGGCTGAGTAGAGCGAATTATATACCTATGTTGGTGAAATTGCAACACAATGAAAGAACTGTCTGACATTTATTCATTAAATTACTGATAGTGGTATAAATAAACAAGTGCACTCCTTCTCTAAATAAATTCTAATCATTTACATGAAGGCATTAAGAATAAGATAAAACAGTAACAAATTATCACATCAAAATATAACATTTCTACTTGATATATATATTGTAAATAGATATCAGTATAAGATAAGACATTACAAAATAATTTCTACACATTAATATTTTAGAATGAATCACAGCTAAGTTATAATCCTATTTAATAAGAATCACACATAGACCTGTTATGTTATATATATATACAGACCTGCCAACTTTTAATCCCTTCCATTATCATTTTTCCCAGTGGTATAAAAATGGAATTAAAACTTCAATTTTAAGCAAACAAATACGTTGTATTTGAAAAAAATTAAGTTGACAACTATGATAGCAACGCATATTAATATATAAGCTTAATTTTTGTAAGAATAGTGGTGATCAAAATCATTTAAAAATTAAATTTATAAAAGTAAAAATAGTATATATTTACTACCACTTTAAAAATGAAAATAAAATCTCCCGCAAAATCCGGGAGAGTTGGCAGGTATGTATATATATATATACATATATATATCTATAAATATATATAAATACCTGGTCTGTCTTGGTTTTTCTGAGAGGTACCTCTTTTGTGAAAAATTGAGATCCTTCATTCTCTGAGATCCTGCAAAATTAATAAATAAAAATATTTATACAGTAAAACTTAAAAGTTTATGAGCACTAAATGAAAAAACCCAATTTCCCCCGGGTTTTTTCAAAGCCTGAAAAACAATAAAATATTTAATTAGAAAAGCTTTGACCAATATTTTCTAATCATAATCTTAGAAACTTATAAGTTTTAGTTGGTGCACTCTTATCCAAATTATACTTCAGTTTTTAAAGTTATTTTAAAGATAAAAAAAAAGTGAACAGCTTTAATATTTTGTATATTAACACATTTTGATATTATTTTTGACATTTAAATTTCCCTTTTTTATCTATAAATTTTTATTATTATTTTCAGCAAACAAAAAATTCTTTAAAGAAGTTTAAATAAACATAAAAATTTCTTTGATTTTGAGCCTTTAGTGTCAAGTTTAATTTTCCTTTAGTATACTCTTGTAACATAAGAAACACATATCATACTTTATACATAGCACATACCTTACTTGATATCCAACACATTTAAAAAAAAAAATTGTAGTAGTAACGAATTACAATCATTCTTGTACCATAAACTAAATCTTATATATTAAGAACTTTTATTTAGAGAATTATATTACAAGACTTGATTAAATTTAGGTAAATAGAATATCATTGTTTTCAGAAATTGAAAAGTTTAACTTATTTCTTTTTTTAAAATTGTTTAATATTTTCATATGGCTTATCTTACTTTTAGACATAATTATAAAATCTATATAACCTTTTACTACAATTCACTTACATGAATATTTTGATAAATTATGTATACTTTGAGCACAATTTTGCATGTTTTAAAACGAATTAACTGTTAATAAGCACACAGAATTAACGTTGACAGACTTAATTTTTATGAAAAGTATTTATACACTCATAACTACAATGCTATGAACCTTGTTCACACAATAAATTACATTAGAAACATTTCATCGTATAAAAAATTATTTACGAAGCTAGTGAATTTATTTAATAAAAATTAGATAGATTGTAAAACATAACATTTAACATCCCAGCCAACAAGTAAACGATTCTGAACAAACAACTTTGACAATGAATTTACGTCATTAATTAGAAATTATTCCGATAATAATATTTAAAATTAACGAAAAGTTAAAAACTACTAACTTAATTATAATTCAAAACCAGCTACATATGATTTTTTATAATGGAATGTTCTTCTGGTAATGTAGGCTTAACCTAAGTATAAAAGTTAAACATTGCAATTAGAAATGAAGACCTGACACAATATTAATAGAGTTTATACAAGTAAATAGAAGATGAATAAACTTTGCTTACCTAAATTGAATCAGTAACGTGACTTTTGACGACAATATTATGTTTTTAGTAGGAGATATAACATGCTGAACACAAAACAAATCGTAAAGCGTGACGTCAGAGCTGAAGATCACGTGACAAGCGTTCATATCGATTAACTTTGTTGATAACAATATTAAGTTCGCTTCACCTTCCAATCCCGTTCAATATCGTTTTCACGGAATTCTATTTTTTACTTTCACTAATGTGAGCAAGTATAAAGAAATTTTACTCATTTTTATCGTTCTAACAAATATTTTGAACTTTGGAACTAAAATATATTTAATATAGAGCGTTTTAAGAAAAATACTTTTAAAGTTTCATTGACGGAATTCATTCAATAACTTGCTCACAGTATCTATATTTCTCCGCTTTCAAAATATTGATAGGAACGGCCACGGTATAGATCGATGTTTCTGTGCTACTTGGGTTGCATACATCTTGTAAATAAATTGAATTACAATAAGCTCAATCTCAAATTGTGGAACACTGGACATATATTGTCTTCTAAATACGAAATTCTCTTTTATAAAATAGTAAACTTATTACTCTCTTATTGACATAAATTACTTTTACTGATTACTTTCTTATCGTCACTTGAAAATGAATCTGTTTGATTACTGTAGTAATCAACAAATGCATAGCTGTACTGATTTAAAAACGTTCGTTTATAAAGATTTCAAAAATAGATAAAAATATAACACACAAATCATGCGAACCTTGGAATGTTAAATCAAAAGCCAATTCAACACACATCTACCCTTGTTTACGAATGCATTATCTATATTATATAAAACGCTAATACGTACGTAAGTATGTATCAATAAAACCGATGATATTTCAGGGGTTGGCGAGCAGGGGGCGGAGCCTCCCAGTATATCTTAAATTATGCATAAAATTGAAATGAAGAAAGGGCAAGCTTATTAAAGTAATTTACTTACCAGGACAAATGAAGTCTGAAGCTTTAAAGTGTTGACTACATACTCGCATTCCAGAACTGACATCCTTTCCAATGCGTAACACGTGTATCCATTGCTGGCGTCTTTTTCCGTCAGAAATCTTTGGAAATATGTGAAAACTAACAGAAGGATTTTTAAAAGCGTACCTAGAACAACGAGGTACACAACAGTACGATTTATCTAACTTATTTATATTTTTTCTAACTATTATTCGACTCATGATAATTTGAGATACTAGAACCAGTTAGCACGTCCGACTCTCTTCGAGACTTACAAGCAACTGAAGGAATAAGTGATGGAGGGGGCGGAGCTACGACATGGAATTGGTTTTTCTCCCCAGATGGCGTATTCGAGCGTTGCGATCGCGAATTAGACCGAACAACGGCTAAGTAAAATTTATTTTGGCATATGCCGGCTGAATAGCCACTGCCTAATTTTTACTTTTAATTCCCTTTTTTGGTGACGATGCGATGTGTTGAAGTTATTTGTATCTCAGGTTTTAATGTTTGTTAATAAAATTAATATTAAATACAGATAAGTTACAATATTATTTAAAAGTTAAAGAGTAAATACTTTTTGCGTATTTCTATTGCCTTTAACTTATTTATTTTTATTCTATATACTAAAATATGGGTCGAAAGAAAAAGAAGCCCTCAAAGCCATGGTGTTGGTATCCTTTTTGATGAAATATTTCTTCTTAATTGAACGTAGTAATATTTTTGAATATCTTGAGTTATATTAAAGTATTTCTTGTTTTTTTTCTTCTTCAAAGAATTAACATATTTTAATTTGATGGAGCGTTATGCCTAAAATATAAAATGTTACTTTTTTTTACACTAAAAATAATGCAAGGTGTATATTCGTCTCCTTATCTTGAGCTTTCCATATCTTTACAACTGCTAGATAGAGCTTTCCATATCTTGATCTGTTGCACCAACCACAATTCCAAGTGTGCTAAATGGATTTTAAACTTGCAAATTGTTTTATAAAAAAAACATGTAGATTTTTGACCGAATGTTGCCACAAGTTATGCCCTTCCAGTTGTCCCCTTCTGTGATTTTTTAGTTTCTCGTGAGCCACTGCCCGGAAGTTAACAAGACATGACGATTATTCTGCTGCAAATCATGATACGGAAACCGTCCCTGTATCTACCTTTGTCAACGGGTCAAAGGGTAAAATATTTTTTAAAAAAATATGTTTTTTTTCCTGCAAGAATGGCGCCAGACTTTGGAGAGATCTGTGGCAGAATAATCGCCAGGTCCTGGAAACTTCCGGGCGGTGACCCGCGAGAAACTAAAAAAATCCCATCCCAGATAGGAACCAACTTGAAAGCTATAACTCGCAACCACCCCCATGCCAACATCATCATGTTGTTGTTTTTTTTAAAAATTAGCAAGTTTAAAATCTATTTGGTACCTTGGCTAATGTAGTTGGCGCTACAGTTGACGATACGGAAATATCCTCCAGACTTTGTCCGACAAGGGGTCAAGTCTCAGGTGGGCTCAGACAAATTAATTCAAAATATTTAAATTAAATCGAATTTTATACTTCACATTTTTTTCAAGTGTGTTTTTAAGAATCTAAAATCACTAATATTGATACTATAATGTGCAGATTCATTTTAATGTTAATTTAAATTGCATTTTTTTTCTGTTATCGTTGTATTTTGCACTGAATGGTGCAATTTACCACACATTGTAAGCTTAAAAATTACTTCTGTAATAAAGAAAAATAGTTAGCAGTCACCGCTATTCCAAAAAATTTTTATGCTTCTTACTCTCATAACGCAAAAATTATTCAACAATAAAAATTCATGCGCATTTATCCAAAAATTAAAGGAATATTTTGATATGAAAATGTTATTTTTGTATGCATCAATTGACTTTTATATCATTTTATTGTATTGAAAATAAAGTTATAAGAACATCTTTTGCATCCACGTATTCTAACTAAAGGTATCATGCCTCGTTTTGAATGAACTTCGCAATATAGTTATGCTTATTAAATTATAAAATTCAATTTTTTTTTAATTGTTATATAGCATAATTTTACTGGCAAAAAAAAGGCTATTTTAGTCATAGGACTTGATGTTAATATGTATTGTAAATAATGCAAATAGACTTTTAAAATTTCTCTTTATGATTCCTTTTTCTTTTCAGATGCTTTTAAAGGGTACATCTATGTTCGGCAAAATGCTAATTTCTCCATTTGAGAAAAAGAGCTAGTCCATCGGCATAAAATATAAAACAAACAAAATAGCTAAAATTTGTAATGATTTTTTCAATTTACGAATTTTAAATTTGCGTCGGAGAAGCAAATATTAACTTACATTTGGAAAAAAAAACTGCTACTTTATGGTTGTTGTTTGTCTGCCTTTGTTTTCCTTTCTCTTCAGAGCTGGAAGCAGGTTTTCCACCAAGATTTCTGTTTCGCCCTGCAGAAGCATTTTACACATTGGCATACGCCTGCAACGAATAACCTTTCACACAGTTATTAAATTATTGTTCATCACATATCAACATGAAACATTCTTTCCTCTTTGATTTAAATTTGCTTTTATAGTTATGAATTCTAAGTCACAAAAAATTAAGGAGTTAGGGGACCAAATTTTTGAAAAATACGAGTTTTTTTTTTATTTCTCAGGATTTATTTGACCGAATTTGTATTTTGACTTTTAAAATTGCATTCTTTCAAATTATGAAAAAATAGTATACCTTACATTTCTTAAGTTTTTCGACTTTTACAGGGATGAAAGACTTCCGCGAAAAAGCGGAAATCCGCTTTCTTCTCCCAATTTTTAAAATTTTGTACCATGTTCCAAAAACTAAAATTTTTGGGGAGTCCAATTAGAGAACCCAAGCCTTCCGAACTATAGTCGGATTATCGCGACTTCCGCTATAGAGTGGAAAGGAGTCGAATCGTTTTGTTTCCGACCGCCAATATTTGATTTCTTTTGTTTGACTGATTTTCGGAATTTTAAATATTAGGAACTGCGCCGGAATCTGCTAAAATCGCGATTTTTAATCAGGCGATTTTAATATCAATCACCGATTTTCGTATTTAACTGATTTAAAAGTTACGTGTTGCGATTTAAAAGCCGTACTAGCAATTCCTATTCACTCAAATTAAAAATCCAATATCGTGATTTGTATTTAAGCATTGTTAAAACCCAACATCGCGATTCATATGTACTCATTTTTGAATCCAATATTGCGATTCGTTATCACGCAGTTGTATTATCAGATATCGTTTTTCTTATTTGTACGCTGTTTAAAAATTACTCATTACGATTCGTATTCACGTGATCTAAAAATAATGCATCACAATTCTTAATTCGGAATTGCGCGATATAAAAATTCAATATCGCAATTTATATTTTCGTGTTTTTAAAATCCAACAATGTGATTCATATTCACGTGATTTTAAAATCCAAAATCGCGATTAATATTCGTGTGATTTTAAAATCCAAAATCACGATTAATATTCGTGTGATTTTAAAATCCAAAATCACGATTCATATTATCGCGATTTTAAAATGCAATATTGTGATACATATTCACGCGATTTTAAAATCCAATGTCGCGATTCTTGAAAGAAGTAGAAGTAAGTTTTTTCTTGAATTAGTTACTGTAAAGATGTGGTATATTTTTCATTAGTGAGTAATTTAATAGTCGTGCCTTCCCATTATTGCTTAATTATTTTTAATATAGTAGTGGTCACAATTTTAAAATTATATTTAAGAAAAATTTAAAGTTAACTGTCTAAATGCTTCTGCCACTTTAAATATTAAATAAAAATCTCCCAGCANAAAATTTGGGTTATAATGAAATACGCAAAAACTGAAGTTAACATTAAAGGGTCCAAACTTTCAAATGTGCTCCTGAAAAAACTATTAAAACAATATTTCCAGATTGTAGCTACTATATTTTGGGTGTCAGAAATCCGAATTTGTCGAAAAAAGGTATGCTTAATCAGAGAAAGTACGTTTTTAGGTCTAATTTGATAACTTAAAATATCGTTTGCTCTGATTAATTAGTATATTAGACATCACCCTCTCGAACCATTATGAATGAGTCCTAGAACATGAAGATCCGAACTTTAGATCAAAATTAATTCTGATGGGGGTCCATTTATTTTTTGTGCACTGAACATTCATTTGACGTATATGTCAATATTGCTGATAATAGCAAAATATTTTTTAATATTTATATAGAAAGGTAATTTAGCTGGTGGTTATCCACATATATATGCTTTGATAACTTAAAGGATTATGATTGGAGGAGGAAATTCAATATTAATCCAGTATAATTTCAATATTAATATCTGATATGAATAAATAAAAACGTCTTCCAATTTGTATTCTTTCATTAATTTTAATTATAGAAAAATGCATTTTCCTCAAACAAATTTTTGCCGCTATTGCAGAAAGCTAGTTTTTTTTTTAAACTCGTTATAAACAACAAATTTTTGTATCTTAAATAATAATGTTTTGAAGTAATATCGGACATCTCGCAATATGAATCTCAATATATCAAGCTTTCACTGTGTTTTAATTTATAAAAATACGAAAGGAAATTTTAGTTTAAAGAATAAGTATTTTCACATTTAAAAAGTTTATTAAAATTACACTGAACTAGTTTTTTTATACGTTGCAAAAAATTTCCAAGAAAATTACAATCTTTATTTCTTATTTTGAGAATTTTTTTAATGGGTTTTTTTAAGATTTAAAACATATTAAATTTAATCTGTATTTGTCGTCAATCTACTAATGAAAAAGAAAGATAAGGGAAATAAACCTTGCAATGTATGTACATTTACAAAAAAAGATGTTAATTCTAAATGATTAAATGAGAATATTTTTCTTTTTCATTCCATACAAAATTCTTGCTAAATAAATAAATAGAATTTACGCTTTATCAAAAAATAAGTAAATAAATAATAATGAGAAAATGTAATAAGATTAATTTATTGCAAGACTTAAGGCATTTATTTTAGTACTGGTTTTAATTCATGCAGAGGATTTTTGCTTTTAGCACTAAAACCCGTGGTTTTGCTATTTTGAACCGAACTTGGAGTACAAGGGAAACTTCTTGGTAAAGTTTTACAACAAATTCACTTTCATGGAGGACATCAGAATTTAAACAAGCTCACATTTTCTTTACATTTGTATTAAAAAAAACTTGAAAATACTCCATGGTTAGCTCGAGGGCAAGATTATTCTCGCACATGATCCCTCTACCAATGGAGGTATTGTATGTCGGAACTGTTATCAGTGACAACCTAGAGCAGTATATGAATTAATATGGGAATTCGAACCCAAGTCTCATCAATAGGAAATGAAATCACTTATCAAACAAACCATATTGGTATTATAAGATTTGTTATAATGTAAACGTACTATATATGTCGATTAAAGGAGTTGCTGTGCAGTTTTGCCATTCCTCCATGTCGCAATTTTGGAGAAAGCGGTGTCTATAATAATACAAAAAACAAACTAATAAATAAATAAAATTCGGCATAATAGAATAAATTCTTATTTTTATCAGTTTTTTTTTAAAAATTTCTCCACAGGAAGAGGAACTTTTCAGACAAAAGCATTATCCCTCTGTAAAATATTAATTTTTTAAAGTTTTGAAACCACAGAAATTTTGTAGTGCCTTGGCAGTTGTAGTTAACTATTATTAGATTGAATTATATAAATGAAATGAACTACTACATGATTTTATGAAGAATTTTTGTTCGATTATAGTATAAAATTTCAAACATAAAAATTACATAATTATAGTTAATTAGTTCTGCAGTGTTTGCAAAAGAATTATTTTGACTTAAAACAATACTCATAGTTCTTTTTTGAGATACTGTCTTCATTGATATAGATCAAAATTTATTTGTAAAATTGTATTTTCCTTAAGTTTTTTAAAAGGTATTGCAATAGAGAATTTGAAGATGAAAAAATTTTAATTCAGCATCAAAAAGCAAAACATTTCAAATGCCATATATGTTTCAAGAAGCTTTTCACGGGACCTGGTTTAGCTATTCATTGTATGCAGGTAAATATATTTATGAAGATCATTTTAAATTAGTTTGAATGGCATTTAATTTAATGTGCTAAATTTGTTTAGGTACATAAAGAAGCTATTGAAAAAGTGCCTAATGCACTAACCTCCAGAAATAGTGTAGATGTTGAGATATATGGAATGGAAGGCATCCCTGAGGATGATGTTCGAATGCATGAAATGATGAGACAGGGTGACAATAAAGGTGAGTATATCTTTTGTAAATGTTATTGAAAAAATATTTTAAAAAAAAGGAGATGAATTAGTTTTTAAATAAAGCAAGATGTAAAAATTCATGAGTGGTAGTAATATAATGTTAAAAGATTGTTTTTAAAATAAAAACCATTGGAAACTAAGCTTGGAAAAGTGATTGAAGTATCTTCTCTGTTCTATCTGATTCGTTGTTTCTGAATTTCAAGGGCAATAGAATAAAAGAAAAAAGAACTAATTAATTAAATTTTTCAAGCAAGAAATTTTATTAGTGACTTAGAGATCATTTACTATTTTTAGAAAATAAAGATTCTTACATGATAGATATTAGTTGTTTCAAAAATTTCAATTTTTTTCTTTGAATCAATTAATAGAAATTATTCTGATTCGCAATTCAATAATCGTAAAAAATTTAAATATTTCTCTAAAAGGTTTAATTTAAAAATCAATCTGAAAAACTCTTAAATAGAAAATTTTAGATTCTGATTAGAATATATATATATANATGAATAAAGTGATAATTATGAGTAAGGTTTGAAAACTTACACATAAATTAATTCAATCTTTCATCTGCGAATCTTTTTATTTTAAAAAAAAATTAGAACTTTCTTTAATTTTGAAAATTTCAAAGCAGTTTTTAAAATCTGTGTACTTTTAAAATAAATTACTGAGTTACTGTACATTTATATCTTGTTACATTATATTATACATTTTATATCTTGTTAGTAGGATTCTGCATCGAAATGAATTCTGCTTAGCTAATTATTTTTTAATATTTTTGTCAAGAAGACTAACTATTAATAATTTATTGTGGTTTCTATAACTAAATGTTCTTCCTAAGTTCCCTTTTTAATTGGTCCTTTTAAGTCTTCTTTTCAACTACAAACTGTTCTTTCCTTTTTTTTCTTTGGTTAAAGTATTTTGAGAGCCTTGTTAATAGTATCCAAAAATGAAATTGTAGTGTTTACAATAACTCATGTAGTGATAAATAAAAAAATTCAGCAATTTTTAAATAGGCGTCCCATGTACAATATTGCGGCCTCTTTACTGGAAATTTCTGTACTTTTATATTTTTACTTGAGTAAGATGGAAACATTTAGACTTAAGCTTGTTTCACTTTAAGTAGGTTAAACAAATTTAATTTATTGTGTTTATGCATATTTGCTTATATTTTGCAGTAATGTTTATAAAACCTTTTCCTTATTTTAATTATTTTCTAAATAAGTATTGATATGAACTTTTCTATTCGCAGTAGAGGTTAGAAATTCGGATGATGAAGATTCCTCTGGTCTTCCAGACAAATCGTCTGGACCAACTATGCCAGGAATGCCATCCATGCCGGGCATGATGCCTGGCATGCCACCTATTCCTGGAATGATGCCAGGAATGCCTGGTATGGGATTTCCCATGATGCCAGGACAGTCTCCACTTGGACCTATGGGGCCAATGCCAATGGGTAAGGAATTTATTTAAAATTTCATTATAAGTTTTAGGTAACACAGTGCTCTAATTTGTTCCATTTTAAATTTTATTTTTAAAAAAAATTTTAGATCTATATACAAATAGAGATTTAATATTTTTTTTTTTTATATCAAATTCTAGCTTTATGTTTATCTTTTGAATAAAACTAATACAGTACGGAACCCGGTATCTGGAAATCAGAAAACCGGAACGAAATTCGGTAAATTTTCCCGCCATTTTTAAAATATTATTTTTTTTCTCGTAAGATTATAGGATTTTTCTTTCTTTTTTGAAAGATGTTTACCTAACCATCATTTTGGAATTAATCATTAGTGTATTACTTAATCTTTTTTTCTTTTTAAGATTATTTCCAAATATTTATTTTTTTAGTTGGGTTTAGCAATTAAAAAAACAGCTTTTTGAACGATTCAGAAAACCGGAAAAATCAGTTATCCAGAATAGCGATGGTGCCGATCGTTCCGGATAGTCGGTTCCCTACTGTACTATTAAGACACTACCTATAATAAGAATGTTCAACCATTTTTGGGCAGGCAAGTGAGCTACATAATAAAGTATTGAGAACGAACATTAACGCAATGCTGTTACTATAAAATTACGAATATTGTTTAAATTCCGTTTAAAGTTAACATGAGTTACAAATGTATAATTAATCTTTTTAGTATGTTAATGTATCATTAATAATTTAATCTTTTAATGTATAATTAATCTATTTAGATAATAAATTAATAAATTTAAACTTATATTTAATAGATTAAAAGACAAATTATGGTAAATTTATAGGAACACAACATTGATAATAATTGATATTATCATGCTGTTGCTAGAATATTGAAATTATACTTTTATTTATTAAATTTTTTTTCAAAATAAAGTTTTATTGTCTTTATTTATTATCCTGATGTATTTTATTGCTTTAAAAAAGATAAATGTAAAAGTAAAATTTATTAATTACAAGAGAAAAGGCCTGCTGAAGTAAAGTGTGAAAATAAAAATTCTACTCTTGTTATCAATTAATATTTACAATCAAAATATCTCTCTGGATTACCAAGAAGTACTGTTTTTTATGTGTATTTTTGGCTCTCTATTCTTCTAGTTAATTCTCATTTTCTTTATCCATATTATTTCTAAATACTACTAATATAACTAACTCTTTTAACTGTGCTTTCTTTTTCTTTTAAGACTTACCATCTTCTGGCTTAAATAAAGGTGGGCTTTTATTCATTTAATTACTTTCTATTTCTCATCTTCTTCTTTTTTTTGTTGATGATTCATGTAGAATCTGTTTTACTCTTAAAACAGCCATATCACAAAGTTTAAAAAGGTAAAATATAATTATAAAAATATAGGGTAATACTTCTTTTTTAAGATTTTTAAGCATTAATAATATCAGTAATTGATGATGTAGAAAAGTAGTAATAGTCATATTATGGTTTAACAAATATGAGAAGTATCCTTTTATTCTCCGCAAATTTTTAAAAATTGGGCCACCCTACTGGTGAAAATTAATTATTTACCATTTGGGATTGTCCTTTAAATTCTGGTATTTGGTGGCTACCAAAATCTGGAATTCAAAATACTTTGAAAATTCATAATCCGGATTTGTGGAAACTTCGGCAAGTCCGGATAATCGGTCTTTAAAGTAAACATTAGTTTTTTAATGAAAAAAAAATTAGAGGAAATTAAGGTCGTTTTTATAGAATCTTTTCTTATAGGTTGAATGATAAAATGTTTAATAACTAAAAATGAGCAGATTTCAACCTTTCATGAAAAGATCAATAACTTTTCTTTTATGAATAAAGACTTTTTTCTTCTTCCTAGTTTGATGTGAAGATTTATCAGTGCAGATAATCAGATAAAAGTAACATTTAAAAACAAGCCTCAAATTCCAAAAGTAAATTAATCTCATTTAATAAAAAACATATAAAACAAATGGAATTGAATAGATTTTTTTAATTTAAGCATTTATTAAAAAGGAACAAAACTTGTTCGGTATTGTTCCTTTAAAACACTATTAGTATTAAGCTTCATTATTATTCCTAGTCTATTCTTCTTGCCAAAGTTCGTTTTTTTTTCTTACTGCTCTTGTCGCACTGATATTTTTTTTCCCTAACAAATCAGGAGAATAAAAAGAAAATGAAAAACAAAAGATAATTATTTATTTTGACAAAAAAATTGCATATTACCTATTAATTGTAAATATCTTGTAGGCTTGATTATTGAATTGTAAATATCTTGTAGGCATCCCCAAAGAGTACATTATATTATCTGAAAAGGTATTTTAGTATTCATATTTGAAAATTAAATATTATTCTATTTGAATTTTCTCAAGGTCTGCCCTCTTTAAATAAAAATATCTTAATATAAGAAATGGCTACTATGGCTAATTCATTAATAATAAAATGCAGATCTGAAGGGGAAAAAATCAGTCTAGGTTTTTTTAAAACCTGCCTTCCTTTCTGGGTTTATTTTGGGTTGAGTAACATCATAACCCTGATTTTAATGCGATGAGCTACAAATTTTTGTTAAAACTTTATTTGATAACGTAAAACCACTGAGAAGGTCAATCAATAAAAATAAAATAAAAAGAAATAATTGAATTTATTTGAGCTTTATAAATTGTGTTGGTATATGCTTTTCAGTTTTATACATGATTTGGTAGTGTTTTTCAGTACTGATTTATTGATGATTTTCTTTATTTTATTCACACTGTGGGAACAACGGATATTCCGCTAGTATTTTACAGTGTAACCTTAGGTACAATTATTTCTCGGTTTTTAATACTCTTATAATTGAAATCTGTCATTATGTTCTTAATTGTAGGGTGACCCGGGGTAATTCACAATCACTCTGTTTCTGGAGTAACTTTACTAAAGTATAACTACATTTACTTGATAATAGTTTTCTGTTTAATCCAACAAAATAAGTATCTTTTAAACTGCTTTCTGTATTTTCCATTTCAAAGATGGGTTTCAAAATGTGCACATTTCTGCAAAGATCCCCCTCCTTCTCTGAATAATAAATATTTTGAGTTACTTTCTTTTTCTTTGATATGAAAATAGTGTAAGCTTTTGTTTAATTGCTTCACATATACTGTAAACATTATTATTGATAATAGGAAACTATATCAAATGGGGTAATTATTGATCACTGGGGTAATTCCTGATCATTGTCATTTCTTCTTATAAATAGTATAAAAAATAGCTTATAAATAGCTAATTGCCTTTTCTTAAATAACAGTTCATATTTATTAAGTGGAACAACTATAAAATATATTTTAACTGTAATTACAAAATTTGTTTTTAACTCTATGCAAGACAAATGTGTTATGATTTGCACCATTTCTGGTTTGTCTTACCTTGCTTCTATCTTAATTTTACGTGTGTACATTGTTAGAATAATTTTTAAGTTTATAAATTAACCTAANTTTTTAAAAAAAATTAAGATCTATGTACAAATAGAGATTTAATGGGGTTTTTTTTATATCAAATTCTAGCTTTATGTTGTTTATCTTTAGAATAAAACTAATACTATTAAGACACTACCTATAATAAGAATGTTCAACCATTTTTGGGCAGGCAAGTGAGCTACAGAATAAAGTATTGAGGACGAACATTAACGTAATGCTGTTACTATAAAATTATGAATATTGTTTAAATTCTGTTTAAAGTTAACATGAGTTACAAATGTATAATTAATCGTTTAGTATGTTAATGTATAAATAATAATTTTATCTTTTAATGTATAATTAATCTATTTAGATAATAAATTTAAATTTATTTATTAGATAGAAAAACAAATTATGAAAAATTTATAGGAACCCAACATTGATAATAATTGATAGTATCATGCTGTTGCTAGTACATCGAAATTATACTTTTATTTATTAAATTGTTTTTGCAAAATAAAGTTTTATTGTCTTTATTTATTATCCTGATGTATCTTATTGCTTTAAAAAATATAAATGCAAAAATAAAATTTATTAATTACAAGAGAAAAGGCCTGCTAAAGTAAAGTGTGAAAATAAAAGTTCTTCTCTTGTTATCAATTAATATTTACAGTCAAAATATCACTCTGGATTACCAAGAAGTACTGTTTTTATGTGTATTTTTGGCTCTCTATTCTTCTAGTTAATTCTCATTTTCTTTATCCGTATTATTTCTAAATACTACTAATATAAATAACTCTTTTAACTGTGCTTTCTTTTTCTTTTAAGACTTACCATCTTCTGGCTTAAATAAAGGTGGGCTTTTATTCATTTAATTACTTTCTATTTCTCATCTTTTTTTCTTCTTTTTTTGATGATTCATGTAGAATCTGTTTTACTCTTAAAACCGCCATATCATAAAGTTTAAAAAGGTGAAATATATTTATAAAAATAAAGGGTAATACTTCTTTTTTAAGATTTTTAAGCATTAATAATATCAGTAATTGATGATGTAGAAAAGTAGTAATGGTCATATTATGGTTTAACAAATATGAGAAGTATCCTTTATTCTCTGCAAATTTTTAAAAATTAGGCCACCCTACTGGTGAAAATTAATTATTTACCATTTAGGAATGTCCTTTAAATTTTGGTATTTGGTGGCTACCAAAATCTCGAATTCAAAATACTGTGAAAATTCATAATCCAGATTTGTGGAAACTTCGGCAAGTCCGGATAATCAGTCTTTAAGGTAAACATTAGTTTTTTAATGAAAAAAAAATTAGAGGAAATTAAGGTCGTTTTTATAGAATTTTTACTTATAGGTTGAATGATAAAATGTTTAATAACTAAAAATGAGCAGATTTCAACCTTTCATGAAAAGATCAATAACTTTTCTTTCATGAATAAAGACTTTTTTTTCCTTCCTAGTTTGATGTGAAGATTTATCAGTGCAGATAATCAGATAAAAATAACATTTAAAAACAAGCCTCAAATTCCAAAAGTAAATTAATCTCATTTAATAAAAAACATATAAAACAAACAGAATTGAATAGATTTTTTTTAATTAAAGCATTTATTAAAAAGGAACAAAACTTGTTCTGTATTGTTCCTTTAAAACACTATTAATATTAAGCTTCATTATTATTCCTAGTCTATTCTTCTTGCCAAAGTTCACTTAATGAAGTTAAAAAGTCCAGCAAAAGTAACCCATGCAGGAACTCTTTCTTATATTCCAGCAGAACATGAGAATGAGTTGGCTGCTTGCCTAAAATGTATGGCAAGATGCAAAGATTTTTGGAAAATTTAAAGTGTTAATCTTTATTCTTGCTGTTAAATAAATCGTTTTATTAGCTACTTAAACATATCTTTTCGGTTTATTTGTTTGATCTTGATGTCTTATTTGTTAATTACCATTGTATAATTATTTTTAAACAGCCCTTTTACTATAAAACACTGGTGATCAGTAATTACCCCAGAAGTGATCAGTAATTACCCCAGATGTGATCAGTAATTACCCCAGAAGTGATCAGGAATTACCCCAGAAGTGATCAGGAATTACCCCAGAAATGATCAAGAGAAGGAGTAATTCCTGATCACTAAAAATTTAAAACCTTTTAAATTCTAATTAGATTTTCAAACAATTGAAGGTAGCATGGGACTCATCTCATAAACCCTCAAACTTCCAGTTAATATTAAAATTCTATCTTGTATAGTTTTTACACAAAATAGATGTTTGCATTTTTTGATCAGGAATTACCTCAGGTCACCCTATTTCAAAAAGATACTTTTAAACCACAAAGAGAAAAGCATTCTTTTAAGTTTTTTTTTCTTCTTTGGTAGCAATATCTGCTCTGTAATCACATGTCTTACCATTTAGTGTGTTGAATTATTTATTTTAGATTATCTTTCTATTTTAAGCATAATACTGTTATAATATTTACACTTTTTTATTCTCAGCGATTAACCTTTCTATCATCTAAGTTTGATTTGAAGGGGGGGGGGATCGATTATTCTGTGACTTTATTAATTCCTTGTTAATATTTTTTTAATTTTTATTATAGATACATGGTGGTAAATACGATATATAGTTAATGCAGGTTTACATGGAACAGATAACATATTCAAAGATGTCAACAGTACAATTGTGCATCTCATTTTATTTTATTTTTTTAAAAATTAAACAAATTTTTTTAAATGTGTATGTTCTTATACAATGTAATGAATTTAAATTTTCATACTCTTTCTGTATCTTTTCCTTTAGGCATGCCTCCTGGATTTATGCCCCCTGGGTAAGCTTTATCATTTTCTTATATGTTTTTTTATTTTCATTGTTATATCATCTTGCTATTGTGAACTATGCAAATTGGTAATGCAGTAAATGTGCATATTTTTTTTTTTAAACCAAAGACATATCCTCTGCTCACTGAGGAGAAAAAAAACTTTTTTGGCTTAAAGTTTCATGATGGCTTAAAAGCTTAAAATTTTATCAGTCTAAACAGAAATCAAGGATTTTTTTTTAATACAAAGAATCAGGGAACAGGGTTTAATTTTGTTTTGAAGTATTTTGACTTTAACATTTTTCAAATTAAAAAAATCTTCTAATTCTATATAAAAAAAATCTGAAGCATGATTTTGTCTCGAATAATATCAATAGTTACTATAACCGTTAAGATTAACATAAATTGTACGATTTATAGAAATAATTAAAGTCCAATATAACAAAATAAAAAATTTGAAAATAAAAAAACTGGTTGCTTTATACTTAGCATATTACAGTACTAGTATATGGAATCCTTTAGAGTTGGTTTTATATTAGTATATTAGATACCTATTACATCAATAACCACTAATGCTTATTACCACAATTAATCATTGCTAGCGGCAATAACTGTTGGGCATATGTATTTTAACATGAAACTGGTTATAGTATTTATCTTAAATGCAAGAATTTTCTACATTTTAAGCTTTTAGTTTTAAAATAAAAGAAACTTAGGTGATTTTTTTTGCATACATGTATATATATTGTGTGTGTATTTAAACAGATAATCTAGTTTTAAAAAAGTTAATAATTTTTAATTGCATGCTTATTGACAGTGGTATGCCAATGATGCCGCCAGGAATGCCCCGTGCACCTATAATGCCACCATCAACTGTGTCAGGTAGCACCCAGGCACCATCAAAACCATTATTTCCTTCAGCTATGCCTCAGGTAAGTTTAAAAATAATTTATGAAAATTATAAATTACCATTGTTATCATATTTTGTGCTATATTGCTCAAATCTAAATTATAATTTTAGTAAAAATTTAGTTCTACTCTTAGAATGCAAATTTATTTTATTGTTAATTTTATTTAGTTTTTTAATTTAACTATCATTCATTTCATTTATTAAATATTTAATTTTAGATGTTAATTTGTATGAATACAAAAAATAATTTTAATATATTTTTTTTTACTATTGCAGAATTATTTTTTTCAGCTGACAAATTTTTACTTTTGAAAATTAAGAACGGGTATACCAACCAGTGAAGGAACATTTCATATATATTGATTAAAAATACGAATTTGAAAGTTTTTCTTTAGATTGATTGGTAATAATAGCTTACTGCCAAGCAATAGGAAGTCATCTAGCAATGTTTTGGATTACCTGGTCAAATAGACTTCTCTGGAAAAATTTTTAAATTTGATATTATCTCTGTAACACATTGTTTCTTTGAAAAAATTATAAGGTGAGTGTTTGTATTTATATGTCTGAAGTGGAATTAATTGCATGCAATAGTTTTATTTTTCTCACTGTGAAAAAGAGAATTCAAAATATAGCTATTGAAGTTACGTTTTACTTTTCTTTAAGCATCATAGTATAATAAAGTACTGCAATAAGGGGGTGTTTATTCACTGGATCATCAAACGATGAAAAACCAGTGAAGGAGCAAGTGTTCCTTTACCGGTTTTTTTTCTAAGTTATTGAAAATAAGAGATAAACTTTAATTTTCTTGTACCTTTAGTGATGTTCCGCATCAAAAGTATGTTAAAAATACGAAAAACAACTTCTAACCAGTGAGGGAATAGACATGTTCCTTTACTGGGCATAGATTTTCCAGTGAATGAACAGTATGTGTCAATATGTTGACTCTTTAATTTTCAATTCATGATTATAAAAAAAAGTTAACATTTTCCAAGTATTTATATGTTATAATTTCAAGAATAGGCTTCCTTTTAAATATTTGTATGGCTTACAAATTCATAAAGAGCATTAAAAAATAACCAAAATTAAGTGTTCCTTTACTGGGTGTTCATTCACTGGTAAGAGCTGTTCCTT